TCCTCCAGGACCTCCTCCAGGACCGATGAGGCGAGTGGAACTGAATAATCCCCTTCCTCCTCCTCCTCCTCCTCCCCACCGGGTATCGATCAGCTCCCTGTGATCAATAAGTGAACACCAGGTCCGAGAAGTTGGCCTCCAGCCAGTTCCCGGCGATCATCTCGCTGAGCTCCGGGGTGCAATAATCCGGGAAGTCGAAGTGTGAGCCGAGGCTGCCCTCCGAGTCCAGGTCTTTGTCCACCAGGGACAGGCCCAGGTTCCCCGGTACCGAGCTGCACGGCTCCGTGAACCCGGAGAGGAAGCTGCTCCCGTCGGCGGGGAGCTCGTCCAGGTCGTCCCCGCAGCAGGAGGAGGAGGAGCGGGAGGAGGGCGACAGGGAGGCCGGGGACGGGGAGCCCTGCCGGGTGATGTTCTTGAAGCTGTAGAAGAGCCGAGCGGAGGGCCCGTGCAGACCGGGCCCCTCCGGTTCCGCTGCGGCGGGACTCAGACTGCTCGGCATGTTGGAGAGGTTGTACCGGCAGGGCTCGTCCTCCTCTTCCTCGGAGTCTTCTTCATCATCCTCCTCCTCCTCCTCGGAGTCGCTGAAGTCCCGTTTGACGCTGCTGGTGAACACGTACCGGTACCGGGGGTCCGGGCTGCTCACCCTCCCGGTACCGACCACCGGCTTACTGGGTTTCAACTTGGACAGTTTCTTAGCGGAGTTCTTGTGATTATTACCGGTACTTTTCTCCGGGGAGTGAGCCGCTGTCTTCCCCGCGGGGAACGCACAGCCGTCCGTCTTGGGCTTCTTCTTGGGCCGGTACTTGTAGTCCGGGTAGTCGGCCATGTGCTTGAGCCGCAGCCGCTCCGCCTCCCGGATGAACGGGACCTTCTCGGTGTCCTTTAACATCTTCCAGCGCTTCCCGAGCCGCTTGGAGATCTCCGCGTTGTGCATGTCCGGAGACTGCTCCATGATCTTCCTCCGCTCGATCTTCGACCACACCATGAAGGCGTTCATCGGCCGTTTGATGTGACCGGACGCCGTTTTGCACCAGTCCGGTTTCACCGGCACGGGGCTGCAGGCCGACGCCGCCAGCAGCTCTCTCTCCTCCGGGTCGGTCGCCTGGCGGGACACGCTGTTAATCCCCGCGCCGCCGTGCTCCGTGTGCTGAACCATGGTCCGAGTTTAATCTCCAGCCGGACTCGAACAACCCTCCGCGGACACTTTCACTCCTTTATTTCTCCTCTTTCACGTGTGTATGAGTCGGTTCTCCGGTGTCAGCAGCGGCTCCGTCCGGCAGCATCTCGTCTCTGTTTCAACTTCCAAACCGGCGTCTTATTAACCGGCTGATCATGCGCGCGACGTTACCGCCCTCAGCCAATCACCGCTCTTCTTCCCCAATACCTTCCCGCCTCCGCGGCGCACTCAGCCAATCACAGCTCTCCTGCTATCCCCGCGTTCCCGCCCACAGGAGTCTGGCCGTTACCTCATTCAATCAATTGATAAATCATTACAGTGAAAGTAATCGATATTTAACGGCGTGTTATCGCTGTTTAACGGTAGTAAATCACACTACAGGTATTTTTAAAGCCTCTGGATCAAAGTAAACACATTCTCACTCCCGCCATGTTTTTCAGTCTGTGACAGTTTTTATGCAAATTCAGAGATTATGAAAATATTCATATTAAAATCAACCCCAGGCAAATCAATACTTATTTTATATATACTAGATAATATAAAAGAATACTATTTACATGTTTATTTCTCGTTTTCGTGTATTTATTCCTCATTTTCACGTATTTATTTCTCATTTTCACGTATTTATTTCTCATTTTCGCGTATTTATTTCTCGTTTTCACGTGTTTATTTCTTATTTTTACGTATTTATTCCTCATTTTCACGTATTTATTTCTCATTTTCGCGTATTTATTCCTCATTTTCGCGTATTTATTTCTCATTTTCGCGTATTTATTTCTCGATTTCACGTGCTTATTTCTCTAAACAATTTAAGATAAGGCTTTATAGGATACAGTTTTTCCCCAAAATGGAGTCCAGAGAATTCCAGGAGTCTGTGAGCAGATTCCAGGAGTTTCAAGGATTTCTGAGGCTCTTTAGGTCCTTCAAGGATCATTGAAATTGTTGACGGTCCTTGAGGAGCCTTTAGGACAAGGAAGTAAATCGAAATGTAACGAGCAGTAAAAACAGCAGAATATAAACAGTTAAACATGAATATAATATTATGTTGTAATAACTCTGTAGACATGAGTAACATTACAGATAAATCCTGATCACCTGGAAGCTTTTCTAGTTTATTTGTGTTGTTGTTTGTGTTTATTGGTCTCTTTGAGAGGTAAATAAATATATAATTAACCAGAAATAAAGTTGTCCTCAGGTAAAAGAGTGCAGGTGAGTCAAACATATAAATGTAATGTATATCAGAATCAGAATCAGAATCAGAATTTTGTTTATTGCCAAGTAGGTGTTGAGTATTTTGAAACCTTTTCTAATGTAAAGACACATTTACAGGTTTCCAGAAGTGTTTGTTGTGTTTTACTGTTAAATAAAATCACTTATTGTGTCTCATAAAGTGAGCTGTTTGAAGTTGTGATTTATCAAACTATTATCTCTTTAAATGCTTTACTGGTTTAATAATATCTGAGGTGATGCAGCAGTGAAATGTTCAGGAACGTTCTCACTCTGATTATTGTGTCTGTGGCCTCGTTTCATTACAGAAATCCACATTTGGAGGATTTCACTTTGAGAAATGAATGAAACAGGTTTTATTTTTATATGTGTTTGTTCTGCAGCTCGTTATTCAGCCTTTAAGCCCCACACAGCTCCTCACTACACCCCCAGCCATTTAACATGTGTATGGAGGCTGGGGGAGAGCTGGGGGAGGCTGGGGGAGACTGGGGGAGGCTGG